TCCTCCTTGTCCCCTGATAGGGTGTTCAAAAAGTTCCCATGTAGTGTTCTCAAAACAGTCCTGCAGGAATGATGAAGCTTCGTCAGTCCAAATCTGCACTGTCTTTGCCTGAGGTGCTGTTCTGCTGATGAGCAGTTTGTATGCTGGAATCAGAAAGAGGGAGAAATGATCTGACTGCCCAAGGTGAGGGGACAGATGTGCCTTGTATGCTCCAGGTCTGTTTCTGTACCTGTGGTCCAGTGTTTTTCTGCTACTGGTCCCACTGTGAAAATTTATGTAGAATTTAGGCAGCACAGACTTAAGGTTGAAGTGATTAAAGTCCCCTGCCACAATGAAGGCAGTCTTCGGATGCTTGTTTTGTTGCTTGCTAATAGCATTGTGCAGTTTGTCCATGGCTAGCTTAGTGTTAGCTAGAGGGTGTACATATACAGCTGTAATGCAGACTGCTTAAAATTCCCTCGGCAAGTAGAAAAGCCTGCATTTGAGCATTAAAAGCATTATGTCTGAGTAACAGTCTTCTGATGACCACAGTACACCAGTTATTATGCATGCAGACACACAGTAACCCCTGCTCTTGACCTATCGAAGTCCCAGTTGCGGTCCGCCTGGTCCAGAACGTTCCCACGGAGTCATGTTTCCGTTATTATCATGACACAGTCATCCATGCGGTTATTGACAATCTGCAGTTTGATATCGGCCATCTTGTTGGCGAGAGAGTGGGCGTTTAAGAGAAAAACACTGGACACAGCAGGTTTATGGGGGAACCACACACAGCCTAGCCCAAGTGCTTCCTTGCACAGTGCTGTCAGGCTCGTAGACCCTGTGTGACTCACTGAGTTAATAATTCCAGCAGGAAATGTCTCAGACCCATCGAGGTCACATTCAAATCCAGTCCTTTAGTTGCAGAATCTCGGATCTGATGTACTTAATCACAACACTGCTCTGGGCTGCGGCGTGCTCCCACCGCCATCTCTTTGCTCAAAGTAGCTTAGTTCATAAATCACTCAGTGGTATGGGGCCAAAATACATTTTGGATCTCCTTGAAGAACCCAAACCCAGCAGGGCTCTGAGATCCTCTGGTAGACCCTCGGGTCAGAACAAACAGGGATGAAGCTACTTTTAGCTACGACGCTGCACACAGGTGGAACCAGCTTCCTGATGACTTTAGATGTGCCCCGACTCGGCCATTTTCAAGTCTCAACTGAAAGCTCTGCTGTTTTCCTGTGCCTCTGTTTGACTGGATATTCCGCTGCACTTTCTGCTAGATTTCCATTTCAGACCTTTTATTTTATGTTGATTTTATGTGTTTTATTTTATTTTAACAACTATTTATCTTCACCTTGTCTTAACGGATTTTATTCTAGTTTCAATACTTATTGTTTTAATGCTCTTACTGTGGTTCCTTGCCTCTGTAAAACACTGGAATGGCCTCTGACTATGAAGTGTGCGGTCTAAATAAAGCTGCCTTGCCTTAAACCTGAACCCAAGGTCTTTGACGACATTATGTTATCAGACATGAGGGGTTCATAATGTTAAAAAAGATCAGAAGAATACAACAAAGCTGAAACAAGAATGATAACATAATAATATAAACTTTAACATGAAAAAAGTTTCATCAGACTCAATGGAGTTATTTTCAACAGCCACTGGATGTTTTCATATAATTTACCAATTGCTAACATACTTTTGGATTTAAACACAAAAACTATGAGACAGTAATGAGGCAGAGCGACATGGTGGTCTGTGATCTGTCGGTGTGGTTTCAGGTGACCCCTCCTCTCATTTCCTGCCTCTAAATGCTGACCACCCCCTGATGGTGATGTTTGTTCACTAAGCGCAACCAATCAGTCAATAGGCCTAATTACACCAATAAATGTCACATGGCTGGAATAGTTATTCACACTCATTCAATAATCGATCAAAACATGAATAATATAAATGCTTACGGCAAAATGAAGTACAACCATGAAGAATTGACTGATACTCAGTAGTTGTAGTACAGCTGGCGGTATGAGTGCTGCTACTGATGCAGTGTCAGCAGCTCGGTTTAACATCACCGGTTGTTAACGGGTTAATTAACCAGATTAAACTCCGGTATGCGTCACCTACCGACCATCTTATGTCCCGGAGGAATCTGACCAGAGGGACCGCCGACCCTCTCCAGTCCGGTCACGTCCTGATCGTCGGCTCGCTCCCGATCTGCAGCTCTCAGAGGTCTTCACTGAGGTCCGCAGATCATCCTCCTGCCCTGTAAAGGTGAAAGCACACGCACGCGGGCAGCGCCGGTGACGTTAATATGCCGACCGACACGCGGACGCAGACAGAGAGGGAAAGACGGAGACTCCCGGTTCTGACAGACACACCGCGCGTCTGGTGGCGGATGATGCGACGCCTGTAGGAAAACACCGGAGCCCGCGTGCACAGTCTCGTCCGGTAACGGAATCTCTCTCTCTCTCTCTCTCTCTCTCTCGCTGCCCAGCACAAACTGATTAAACCCCCGGTAAATGGAGCCGCCTCCCCGTTCACTGTTTAACGGTTTGCGTGTGTTTGGGGGTGCGTGAGAGCAGCTACATGCGAAGGTCCCAAAATAGAACTAAAGTGATCAATAATAAAAATGAAAATGAAAACAAACACACACACGTATA